CACCATCTCAGAAGCATATGATGCACTGCATTCAGCTGCCGGAAAACAAGAATGCCCTAAGTGGTCTTAGGATCTGTATTTCTGTTTTTCTCATTTTCTCCGTATTTTTAATATTTGTAATTTAATAGGAGATAGAATTCAATTCTATTCACTGATAATAGTGGCATGCATGGCTGTGGGACAGAGTCTGAATAGCCTCCAAATCACCATGTGTTAGTAGCTTATTTGTTCTAATATATCCATGCAGTCAATGATTACCACCTACTTCTCCTTTTGTTTTTCCTGATTGAAAAGCACATTTTCTACAAAGGCTTTAGTAGTGCACATAATTATCTACAAATGCCACATATACAGCAGGTTATTCATTTTTTTTTTCTAAAGCAAAAATATTTATGTTGATGGGAGAAGCTGAAACTTCTTCTATACAGGTCACAAACAAATAAAACACCACCCCCAACAACAACAGAATGCTAAAACAAAGCCAGTCTAAATCTGATAACTTTTGTCTTGGGACAGAGGCATTTCTTGTTATGCTATGAAGAAATTGTAGCTGAGAATAAGGGCTATTTAATGGAAAATAAAGACTTATTAAAATAAAACCTGTGTACAGCTGCTCCTAATAGACTGCACTACATTGTTACCTCATAAAATCAAGTTTGCATGCATGATCCGCAGGTTAAACTCTGATTCTACTCAATTTCTCTCTCCCCATGTTTCCCTATGAATAGATAATGTAACTGATGCTTTGCCTCCAGGCTTCAAATGCTCGACTGCCTTAGTAGAATGCCAGACATGTTTAAATTCGTGTTATTGGCTCTTTTCACCTTGTGGACCTGTAAAATATGTATCAAGGCTACAACTGACAGAAATGCAGCAGCTGGCTATAAGTTAGATGTGCCAGAAAATTGCAGTATTATCCATTCCAATGAAAGTAGCTATGAGAAGCAATCATGTTAACTAAATATGAACTAAGTAACAAGATCAGGGTTTAATTAGAAAATTAAAGCAAGTGGAAACCTGTTTATTATTCTGTTTACTTTCTTACACCATCCCAAGTATTGTTTCCATGGGTATTATTAGATAATGGACTAATATCAAATGTTACTATCTTGGGAAAGAAGTGATAAAATAAGTGAGATATGGGGAGAGAAAAAGACTTTAGTCTCCAGTCAAATTAGGTTGTGCCATTAAATTACAGGTGCTGATTTCCAGTTAAGTATAAAATAATGGAAGTAGAATCACACATTAGCTGCCTCTTAGGGTTGTCTACACAGCCCATTCAACCTTGTGGATCTCAACTCTCATCTGAGCATGAGCCACAGTCATCTTCTCTGTGGGGACACTGATGCTTCTGAGTTTCACCCAGTGCAGGGGTAGCCTGCCTGTCTGAACTTGTGGGCCACTTCTAACATCATGGTAAAAAGCCAGGTTACTCTGCCTCAGTCATGAGTAGAGAGGTTGATGTCATGTTCTTTCTGAAATATAATGCCCTTTCACATAAATGTTTTTTTTTAAGAATTTAAATCTATGATATTAGAACTGCAGTCCATGTTAACAGAAATTTTTTCTTGAAGCTTATAAATAAAAAATTAGTATTAAGGAGATTCTGAAAAATAATGGATTCGAAAAAGAATGGATCACTGGATCCATTAAGAAAGATGTTAACGTGCTAATTTTTAAAATCATATATGAAACCCAATGAAAGTTATTACCAGCTTTCCTATTTCTTTGACTTTGGCATCTAAAAACTATATCAAGGGTGGTGTGCACACAGTCACTGAAAACTCTCTCAGAGGACAGAACTAAACAGGCTCTGGACTTCAGGAATATCTGGAGATTAGGAAAAGGTGGCTGCCGGAATGAAGCAGATCATGAAGCCTTTGGCATTTCAAGAGTGCCATAAAGATTATAAGAAGCCTGCTATTTTGCAAAAAGTTGTATGTGTAACAGGGTGGGGGGTTTTGGTTGATTCTTTCTTTAAAGCAGAGTCCATTATGTTATTGTTCTGACTTTACAACTCTTTGCAGGTTCTAACAAATTGAGAAGTTAAATCTTGTTTGTAGCTCCCATCTTCTCACTTCCTCTACAGAATAAAAAAATGATGCCACATCTATATTTTTTAATTAAAAAAACCCCAAAACTCAAACCCCGAAATCATTCACAACTGAAACAGAAACCAAACTTTTTCTTAAAGAAAGTTCTTTTTAAATTGAGGCGATGGCAACAGATTTCTGCTGTATGATGCCATGTTAAGCAAGCACAAAAAATAAATTCAGTATCAATGTCTCTGAAGGCTGTTAAGTTGTTTTACTGGCACTTGTCTGGATTTCAATGTCATACTACAAAACACTCACTTTTAACACCACATTCGTGCAGCTGTAGCAAAAAGATATTCCTAACTGGGAAGCTGAAAGTCATAGAAACATAGAATCATTTGGTTGGAAAAGACCTTTAAGATCATCAAGTCCAACCTGTTCATTACTAAACCATGTCTCTAAGCACCTCATCTACCCATCTTTTAGAATCCTCCAGAGATGGTGACTCCACTATTTCCCTGGGCAGCCCATTACAATGCCAGATAACCCTTTCAGTGAAGACATATTCCATAATACCCAATCTAAACTTCCCTTGGGGCAACTTGTTACTTGGGAGAAGAGACCAACACCCACCTCACTACAACCTCCTTTCAGGTAGTTGTAGAGGGCAGTAAGGTCTCTCCTCAGCCTCCTCTTTCCAAACTAAACAACCCCAGTTCCCTCAGATGCTCCTCATAAGACTTGTTTTCCAGACCTTTCACCAGCTTTGTTGCCTTTCTCTGGACATGCTCCAGTGCCTCAATGTCCTTCCTGTAGTGAGGGGCCCAAAACGGAAAACAGCATTCAAAGTGTGGCCTCACCAGTGCTGAGTACAGGGGCACAATCTCTTCCCTAGTCCTGCTGGCCACACTATTCCTGATGCAGGCCAGGATGCTGATGGTCTTTTTGGCCACCTAGGCACACTGCTGGCTTGTACTCCATCAGATCAACCAACACCCCCAGATCCCTCTCTGCCAAGCAGCTTTCCAGCCACTCATCTCCAAAGTAAACAAGTAAACATCTAGTGTGGCCTTTTTCCTATGTGAACTAATATGTTATTGATTTATTATTCAAGAAGACCTGCATTATTATTAGCTACAGCACCGTTTATCAGGAGGAGCCTCATGTACTGTACAGATCATTGCTACTTGAGTTAAAGACTTCCTTCTGATGGCAGCAATAGTGGAATATTACCCAGAAAAGAATACCAATCACCGAGTGAAAATACACTGCACACTGCATGCTATGTCTGTCCCACAATTGTTTTCTTCTTTACTGAATGTTATTATAATTTATTAATTTATTTTTACAAATGTAAAATTGCAATGATTGTCCAAAGGAATATTGAAATTGTATGTATAGATGTGCAAGAAGATGATTTTCACTGAAGTTGTAGGAATATGTTTTAGTAAATATAGTTTTTGTTTGGTAAACAGTGGGAAAGAAAAAGCCTAGAAACCATGACAGCTAGATGAAATTTAGCATTTTCAAAATTCAGTTTGTGAGAAAAACACTCACTCACAGATTAAACAGGGAACATATTCATAAATCTGAAATAACATAATCCCAGAGGTGCAGCCTGCTGCACGATAAACTTATTCCAGAATGTTTGTGTCCTCTCTGATATGTACCACCTCAATAAAGAGCTCATTCAAACATTTGCATCCAGCAGAATTTTCATTGCCAATGAACTACGGTACTATATCAAGGAAGAAATAATGGTGATGAAATGGAGTTTTTTTGAAAATCATTTGAGATGAAAGTAGCTTGCAGTTTTTGTTTCATTTTCTTTTCTTCCTTTTCTTAATGGAAAAATATATATAGCATCTGAAGCTTCTGCTGTAAGGTCATCAAGTTTCACACTGTGAGGAGCTTGCAGAAGATGAGAGGGAGGGCTGGAAAGGAAGCATACTTCCACATAATGGGAACCAAATCACTTCAGTGCAGTTCTGTGATTGCACAGTGAAATTTAATATCAGCTAGCAATGACACAGTTATCTAAAGCAGAAAAAAAAATGTTTTATTACAACTGAAGATAGGTTTGTTAGACTGCCTCTGAAACAGTGCATCCAATTCTGGTGCCACAATGAGAGAGATATTGATCAGCTAGGGCAAGTTCAGGGGAGGACACTGGAATGGTGGTGCTGGGGCACTTGTTTCATGAGGAGACGATAGGGAAGCCGGGCTTGTTCAACTTGGATCAGAGATAACTATGGGGGACCTAACAGCAGCTCCCAGTGGCTACAAAGAAGTCATTGAGGAGACAGAGATGGGCTCTTTGTAGTGGTGCAGGGTGGGAGGGCAAGAGACAGTGGTCATAAGCTGAAATAGTGGGAGTCCTGGCTGGATATATTGAGAGAAAAATCACAATGAGATTAGTTAACTGCTGGCACAGGTTTTCCAGAGAGGATGTGTGATCTCCTAAATTGGAGGTTTCAAAGACTCATGTGAACAAAGCCCCAGGTAACCTGCTCTGAAGTAATTTTCCCCAGCTTTGAGTGAGAGGCTGGACGAGAGATCTCCCAAGATCCCGTCTAGCCCAAATTATTCAGTTGATTCTGTAGTTCTAAGAAAATCTGCCTAAACATTCTGCTGTGAATTTTTACAGGTGGCACATAGACAGATTGGTGAACTATGGAGCAGAGGCAGAAGATAACATTGTGACATTGCCACTGTAATTCTTATACTCTACCTTAATAAGAAGGCAGAGTAGGGAATGGGTTTATTTGAAATTTCTGTAAATTAAACAGTATTCCTGTAATTAAAACAAACTGGCTCCCCAATTCAAGGAATATAACCCTGGAACAGTGATGACTGAACACACAGATGTGTACCAGTGAGAGGAGAATATGACTATTACTATATTAAAATAGTGGGTTTTTTTCTGGTAGTCCTGGAAGATTAACATTTTAATCCTCTTCTTACCTGCTTCGTTGGTTCTGATCAGTCGTGATGGTGCACTTGGGTCTCCGGTCCCAATTTTGTTGGTTGCTACAACTCTGAACTCATACTCCACCCAAGGGTTCAGTTCAACAGCCATAGCAGACTCCATGTCACCACTTATCACATCTGGAACTGCAGAAAGTAAAGAAATGTGTATGTCACTCAGAAATCTGAAATTCACATGAAGTGTCTCAAAATGGTAGACTTTGTGGTGCAATATGGCCATTAGAAATGATAGACATCAAGGATCTAATATATCAGAAATCACAGCTAGATTTTTGGCACTCTGGTACTCCTGAAAAGATACAGGTTGAAGAATATAGGGGAGAGCTTTCTGCTTATTCACAGATGCGTCATGAGAGGTGTCTTTGTGTTGTCCTTTCAGAGCTGTTGCTAGGTAATGTGAAAGAAATGAAAAAAGGAAAAAAAAATCAGTGCGTTTAATTTATCATTGTTCTCTTAAGATTATCTGTTCCTGCAGTTGCTGGTGGTTATTATTGTGATGAGCAGTTTTGAATAGTCTACTTGTGCTGTTTGAAAGTTTTTCTCACCTGTTTTTACAGTCTGCCAGCCAAGAGAAAATGGACTGCGTGCTTGCAGGTTGTAGAGGGAGATAGGGCTGTGATTGTCTGCCCCAGGACTCCAGGAAAGTGTTGCTGTGGTGTCTGTAATTTCCTCCACTATTACAACCCCTGGGGGACCAGGAGGACCTAGAAATAAAGTGGAATAATCAAACAGTCCACACCATCATTGCGGATGAGCAGCAATAATACAGGAGATGCATTCTGTAGGGACCCGGTGGAGTTCAATATCCATTAAATACAAGGGTTAAAATGCACACTACTATATCACGGAGATACTTCATTTCCATGATTTATGCTGGTAAATTGTGATTGTTTCTACTCTTTAAATGCTGTGTGGGTGAGTATCAATTAACTTGTCAGAGTGACAGCAGGAGAACTAGAAGTAGAAACAGATTAAAAAAAATATCCTCCATTATAATTGTTCTGAAGCTAAAATTAGAGGGAAAAAAGAGCAACTCTAAGAAGCATCCAGGCTAGACTGAAGGGTCGCAATCAAATCTTCTCTTTGTGTGAGATTTGTCAGCAG